CCCAGCCACACTATTTGGACTGGTGGCTAAATACTAAAGCTGAACTTCTCTGATTTGGTTCTCACAATGTTAGGTTTCCAGAGTCTGTCTAGAGTGGAGAGAGTCTATAACTTTCAGATCCCTGGCATGTGCCATTATTGGCCCCAAATATTCAAAGTTTGAGTGAAATCAGCTTTTCTTCTTGGATCTGGAGAGAGGAAACAGAGGTAATTTATTCCACCATTCCCCTCTCTCTGGAACTGGGGTTTTTATACTTGGATGCATATCAGAAAAATCTTGCTGCTCAGTCCCCTTCCAGACCAATTAAATCACAATTTTGGAGGCAGGTCCCAGGCATTGGTATTTTATAAAATGACCTAGGTAACTCCAATGTGCAGCAAAGGTTGAGAACCACAACTCCAGTAAAACAGAAATAATTTTTTTAGTATCAAATTAATATGAGGCTCTTCCTTTGTTTCAGAATGTTTTAAAGGTGGCTGAAATGTCATTGTTTGCTTGTATCACCACAATTTAGATCATGTACAGGTAACCATCTCTGTCTATCACAGCAGATTTATTCAAATTAAAAGAGGCTGCATATTATTGAATCTTAGAGCAGAAAAGGGCATTCATGGGAAAACTGGTGACATTGGAATGAAGTCTATGGTTTAGTATCAATAATATGATAATATAATTCTAATATATAAAAAGCTAGGGGCCGTCACAACTGAAAAAACTGGATGGATGACCGAACAGCAGGCTGCATAGGGCAATGAAGCCATCAGCGGGGTGGTTAGTGAGAGATGACCAAACAACTGAACAACAGGCTGCACAGGGCGACCAAGCCGGCAGGGGGGGTTAGTGAGGACAACCAAACGACTGAATAGTAGGCCGTGTGAGGCAACCAGGCCAGCAGGGGGGGCAGTTGGGGACGACCAGGCCAGCTGCAGGGGGAGGGGGGAGAGGGGGGAGGCGTTGGGGGCAACCAGGCCTGCGGGGGGGCAGTGAGGGGCAACCAGGTCGGGGGGGGGGGCAGTGAGGGGCAACCAGGTCGGGGGGGGCAGTTAGGGACAACCAGGCCGGCAGAGGGGGGCAGGTCATCAGGGGGGCAGTAAGGGGCAATTAGGCCAGCAGGGGGGGGGGGACAATTAGGGACGATCAGGCCAGCAGGCAGAGACAGTTAGGGGTGATCAGGCTGGCAGGGAGGGGCAGTTAGGGGCAATCAGGCAGGCAGACAGGTGAGCAGTTAGGAGTCAGTGGTCCCAGATTGTGAGAGGGATGTCCAACTGCTGTTTTAGGCCTAATTCCAGAGACCCGAGGGGTCCCGGATTGGAGAGGGTGCAGACTGGGCTGAGGGGACCCCCCACCCCTGTGCACAAATTTCAAGTACCGGGCCTCTAGTGAAGTAATATTAAAATAGCTTGTAAAATATCAACACATTTGGGGATGCTGGGTGAAGGGTATGTGGAACTCTATACTACCTTTGCAATTTTTCTGCAAATCTAATTATTTCAAAATATAAAGTTTAAAAATTAAATTTAGAAAAGAGAAGGAAAGGTGGAGTTAGTACTGATGCTACAACATTGTGGATTAACTAACAATATTAAATATCTGTGGACATAAAGTCTTGCACTGTGTACTTGGATACTTTATTCATAAGCACAACTTATGGAGAAGAAAAGCATAAATACACTTCCAATTTCCTATCTGCATTCTGCTCTATATATCTTCTCTCCAGCCTCAACTAGATCCTACAAATGTCATCAACAGCAGTTAATACTGAAAGAATCATATATTCTACTCAAAGGAATTATAACACTGGTGGTAATATCTTATACTTCTACAGCATTTTACAGCTTACAACACTTTCTAAGTGTTAGTCTTGCCTGATTTTGCATGAGGAAATAGGCAATACAAAGGATATATCAGCCGTGGGCAAACTACGGCCCGCTGGCCGGATCTGGCCCGTTTGAAATGAATAAAACTAAAAAAAAAAAAAAAGACGTACCCTTTAATGTAATGATGTTTACTTTGAATTTATATTAGTTCACACAAACACTCCATCCATGCTTTTGTTCCGGCCCTCTGGTCCAGTTTAAGAACCCATTGTGGCCCTCGAGTCAAAAAGTTTGCCCACCCCTGGGATATACCATGGGCTGGAATAAAGAATGAAACTTCATCTGCATTTGATTATAAAATACAGAGTGTAAGCTCCTGCAGAAACCACACACGCACTCACACAGGCATGCACACACGCACACAGTTCATGTCACAGTACATGTCCCAGTACAATGCACAATTTGAAAATACGGTTATTGAAAGATCTTATGTTAGTGTCCAGGGGCACATATAACATAGCCCTTCACCCTCTAGAGCAGTGGTTCTCAACCTTGGCTGCACATTAGAATCACCTGGGAATCTTTCTAAAATCCTGATTTCTGGGCCTCATCCTCTGGACATTCTGTTTCTTTGTTATGGGGTGGGGCCACAACATTAGTAACAAAGAAACAGAATTTCCGGAGGATGAGGCCCAGAAATCAGGATTTTAAAAAGATTCCCAGGTGATTCTAATGTGCAGCCAAGGTTGAGAACCACTGCTCTAGACTAAGTCACACCCACAGGCACAGCTTTCATTCTTTCCTTTCTTACCAGGGAAAGGAGAAAAGTTCAGATTATCAAAGAGGCCACCAGCCAACGTCCCTTGGCCCCAGGTGTTGTCAGGCCATGACTTTGTCCTGAGTCACAGCCGTCCCCTTTGTTTCTGTCTCCAGTCCTTAATTTCCTGGGGGCCCTGACACTCGCCGTTTCCCCCATGAGTCAGGTCCACCTGCCAGTTCTTTTTCAGGAGCTGTCTGCAGCTGTTGCACTTTTCCACTGATCTGCTGGCCTCTGGCTGCTCCTGCAATTGCTGAAGAAACACTCCCACCCAGACTTGAGTGAAGGGGTGGTGGTGACCACACTTTCTCTGCGCTGTGCCAGGAGATAGCTCATATCCTCTTCCTCACCACCCCCCACAGAGCCCTCCATCGGCCAATTCCACTCCAGGGTGGGGGACGCCTTCCTCTGGCCTGGCCTCACACACATGCACACACAAGCTTTCCTGGCCAACCCAGGGGACCAGGGCAGCCCAGACCTGGCACCACTCGATGGGTGAGCGGTCTGTGCTGCACGCCCCACTCTCCTGTCTGTGACGTGTGCCTGCTCTAGCCCATCCAGGAGAATGGCTTTCTACCTGCAGCCACTCCCGCAGGTGCCGTTGGGCAGTGATGTGATATACTCAGCAGGCGTAGTTCTCCCTCCTTAGCACAGCTCAACCTGCTCACTCTTAGATTCTTATTTATTCAAAAGGGAGGTCTCAGTGGGACTCGTGTAGAGGTCATGGCATCTTTGAGAAGAGTAACGGTACTTGGGAAATGTAAATGATGGGATATAATTAATCGAAACTTCTGGGTTCCTTTTAGTGACAAACGTATGAATACCAATTTTTTTGGGGGGGGAGGTTACAGGAGAAAGGGTAGAAACACCTGCACTTTTGAAAGTAGCTGTTCTCAATGTGTATTTGTTTTAAAGCATTTTTCCCACCACTAGGCTGGATCCTTCCCACCGCAGCCCTCCTTTCACAGTCGGCTTACTTGGCTCTACCCACAGGCACGGCGATCCTTCTAGACCAGGGCCACCACTCCTGCCTTCCTCTGGCCCAGTTCCTGACAGGATCAGGGCTAGGGCTGACCTGGTTCCTCCCGGCTTTCTTGAGGAAGATGCGACTGCTCCCGCTGCCTGTACCGCGATCACCCCACCATCTGAACTGTTGCTAATTCAGAAGGCAATTGGATGTTCCAGTTTGCCCAAGACAGTGCCAATTTACACCACCTTTTACTTCCAGGGTCTGGATTTGCGGTTACCAGGCTCAGAGTATCCAGGTGCAGACATACCTGATCACCTCCCCTCCTCGCCACTGTGGCTGCCTCCCGCCCTTGCTTCAAGCCCATCCTGCCATCAATAGCTCATGGCCTCGCCTACACTGTCCTATCCAGCCACCAACCCAAGACTGATCTATTAGTATTTTAGAGTATCATCTCTGTAATTCTAAAGATTTGCAGGAGTGTGTGTATATGTGTGTGTATACACTCAGAGGAAAGAAAAGCATTACACATTTGCTTAGAACACATTCTTACCTAGTAGTCTGTGCAGGTTTTTACCATATTCTTTTGCTAATAGTATATTAAGAAGGAAATTAGCCCGGCCTGTGCGGCTCAATGGTTGAGCGTCCACCCATTAACCAAGGTTCGGTTCCCCGCCAGGGCACATCCCTGGATTGTGGACTCAATCCCCAGTAGGGGGCGTGCAGGAGGCAGCTGATTGATGTTTCTCTCTCATCATTGATGTTTCTATCTCTCCCTCCCCCTCTCTCTTCCTGAAATAAAAACATATTTTTTAAAAAAGAAGAAAATTGAAATTTTAGTAAAGATTTCCTTACTTGTGTTGTAAAACACCTCTTTATAGAGCCAAACTGAAAGGTCTTTAAAGCAAATGTACTTTTCATCCGATGAGTGATTGAATTCCTGATTTTTATTTTCTCTATTTCAGCTTAGACAGTGAAACTGCACAGATACTTTTCATTTTGAATTTATCATCAAATTCACTTCCTGTTATTGTTATTCCAACACTGGAGAGAAAAGTTGACTTTCCAGAAGTTTTCATTTAACTTTAATAGAAAACAAACTCATACAAATCTACTTAAAACAAACAAACAAACAAACAAAAAAGCAATGTTCTGAACACAATCTGCAATTTGATTATAGGAACTAGTTTACCTAATAATTTCACAATATGAGCATCACCCTGATTACATCCTTTGGCCATTCCGGGCATGATCACAAGGCCTTTGAAATTCAAATTATGAACTTGGACTGAACCCTTCCCACAGGACCCCGTGGCCTGCAGCCGAGCTCATTCTGACAGTTGGGACAGTTGTGATGTCCAGTTTCCTGTCAAGTCCGGAGGGCTCATGGGGCACTTACGTCTCATCTGTGAAGGCTATTCCAAAGTATTCCTTCTCCTTCAGATTGAAGTGAGATGCCACGAGGTCAAGCAGCTCCTTGGCCAAAAGCTTGGGCTGGAGGGAAAACAAAATGGAGAAAGGGTAAGTGATGAGAGATTACATTTCCTAAAACAAGCAATTCCTGATTTACATAATTTTTTTAAATGCAATGTCTCAAAGCCCTAGTACATCGATGCAAATGATTCTTATAAAACCCAAAGGAGTGGATAATGAAGGCACCACTGAGTAAACAGCCAGGTACAGATGGAGACCTCCTTCTGCCTTATTCCTAGTTTTTTCTACTACAAACGGCACTCGCTCATGGATAGGCTGTCAGCCCTGGGGCTCTCCGTCCCCACACAGGAGAACGTTTCACACTGAACAGGAAGATGCCTTACTTTAAAAAAATACATATATATATAAGATAAATATACAAATTATATGTTTAACATATATCATATTTATATTTTTATAATATATGTTTAACATATATTTAATTATATTAATATTAATATAATGAATATATTCTATATTCTATAATATACTAGAGGCTTGAAAATTCGTGCACAGGTAGGGTCCCTAGTCCTGGCCGGGCGTCAGGGCCAATCTGTGGGGCGACTGGCGGGGCAACTTGGGGAGGGGGATGGCCCCTGCTGGCACCTGCCTTGGCCAGCTTGGCACTGCCTGCTTGCTGACTCTGTCCCCCACTGCCTCCCTCAGGCTGGCTTTGCCCCCTGGCTCCGTCTCCGGCTGCCTCTGGTCGCCCCCTGCTGGCACCTACCTTGGCTGGCCTGGGGCCTACAGGCTGGGGGCAGCTCCTGTGTTGAGCATCTGCCCCCTGGTGGTCAGTGCGCATCATAGCAAGGGTCGATTTGCATACAGACAGTCCTTGGGTTATGTTGGACTCGACCTACGTTTTTTCGTGGTTACCTCGCCATCTCCCATTTATTTATAAAAAAAAAAAAAGTTCCGTCATTTTGACGTATGTGCTTTATGTTTTTTATTATTTATTTACCACAAGTAAAGGTCAGGACTTGTTATCTTTCTTTTAAATTTCTTTTTTTTAAACATATTTTATTGATTTTTTACAGAGAGGAAGGGAGAGGGATAGGGAGTCAGGAACATCAAGGAGAGAGAAACATCGATCAGCTGCCTCCTGCACACTCCCCACTGGGGATGTGCCCGCAACCAAGGTACATGCCCTTGACCGGAATCGAACCTGGGACCCTTCAGTCCGCAGGCCGATGCTCTATCCACTAAGCCAAGCCAGTTAGGGCTCTTTTAAATTTCTTTCACTGTTTCACTTCATTACTGCTGTGTATGTGCTCCATGTGAGTGATGTAGGTGCTTATGTAGGTGGGTTCTGACTTACGGCGAAATCATATTATGTCGCGCCGTAGGAATGGATCTCTGACGTAACCCGAGGACCTACTGTATTAGGCTTTTATTATATAGGATATTTTATGTTACATATGTAATATGTATTGTAATGTATATTTATTTAAAATATATTAATATCTACTTAAAATGTTTAATATATCATACTTATATTATTATCATAATCAATAGATTACATATTATACAATATCTATTAATATATGTATTTAACATATACTTATACAGTATTTGCTATGGGCCAGGCCCTGCTCCAAGCACTTTACAAATACTAGTCTCCTTAAACCTCATCACAGCCCTAGAAGGTGGTCCCATCACTGTACAGGAAGAAGACAGGGGCCCACAGACTAAACATCTCTGTTTAAGTACTGGGGCGGGGATCTGAATCCTGGCTCCACCCTTGAACACGCTCTGTGATCCCATAATTAAAAATCCAAACAATGAAAGTATCTTTCTGCAAGAAATGTTAAAGCTATGGCCAAAGGGCCTTGGGAATAATGTTTACGAATAAACTGAAAATGCACCTTCCATTTGCCTTTCCAAAGGAAAAGATGAGCCTTTACCTATGAAGGTTTTTAGCATAAGCTCATTCCTAAGCATCTCTTCCAATGTAAAGGAGTTCCCAGAGCTTTAGGCATGAAACCATGTAGATGCCTGCACTGTCCATACCTCATTAGCTTGGGTCCATCCCTGTTGACATGACCACAGCTACCAGGCTCTGTCCGATGGAAACACAGGACTACCCGGGAAGAGTCATTTCTAAATGAGCTCCCAGGTCAGGTATATGCAAATGCATTGCCTTTACTCTATGACAACTACTCCATCCCAAGCTCACTTGCTGGATGTCTCCAAGCTCAGAGCAAAAAAAGATTCCAGAAAAGAAAACGTATGCTTGTTTGTGTATGTACATGTATGTGCATGTATAGCCTTCCTGAGTGTATTTCCTGTTCTGGTGGCTACTCTGTTGCACTTCCCTGTTAGGGCAGTGGATAAGACATGCAAGTCAAAGTCTACTTGACAGTTTTAGAATTACCATATGATCCAGCAATTCTACTTCTGGGTATTTATCCAAGGGAAACAAAAATACCAATTCAAAAAGATACATGCATCCCCATGTTCAATGGCACATTATTCATAATAGCTGAGACATGGAATCAACTTAAGTGTCCATCAGTTGATGAATGGATAAAGAAGAGATGGTGAATATATACAATGGAATATTATTCAGCTACACAAAAGAAGGAAATCCTGCCATTTGCAACAGCATGGGTGGACCTGAGGGTATTATGCTAAGTGAAATAAGTCAGACAAAGATGAATTCCATTATGATCTCACTTATATGTGGAACCTTAAAAAATTTAAAAATAACTCCTAATACAGAGAACAGATCAGTGATTGCTGAGGAGGTAGAAGGCTGAAATGGGTGAAGGTATTAAAAGAAAAAGAGACAGTCTAATTTCTAATTTCTTATTTTGGGCACTGCTCTGTGCTGCACTGTGTCCCCAAAGAAATTCACATGTTATGTTGAGGCCTAACCTCGATGTGATGATCTCTGGAGACTGGGCCATTGGAAGACGATTAGATGAGGGCAGCCCCATGATGGGATTTGTGTCCTTATAAGACGAGACACCAGAGGGCTTGCTTGGGCTTTCTCTCCACCGTGAGAGGGCGCAGTGAGGAGGCACACCAGAAAGAGAGCCCTTCCAGGGTGGATCCTGATCTCCCACTTCCAGCCTCCAGAACTGTGAGAAAATACGTTTCTGTTGTTTAAGCGACCTAGTGTTTTGTCACAGCAGCCCCAGCAGACGAAGACAGGTGCACTCCCTTTGGTTCAACACTGGAGTGTCTAATATGGGCAATGCATGAGCCAGCACTGCAGGTGATATAAAACGAGCAGCATGTAGCTTGCCAGTGAGGACTTATATTTTCCCAGGGGCACAAAGTAAGGGCCGATGTTCCTTTGAAAAAGCCAAAGCAGATGGTTCCCCCTTGCTGCCTGGCTCCTGGGCTCACAGGGTGCCAGCCCCTAGGCCTCAACAACCTCCAGTTTACCAGTGAAACAGCAGGAAAGGACAACGGAGGGTTTGAATTGAGGGCAGAGCTTCCTCCCCCCAGAAGATGTAAATCAACTGGAGAACCCATCCTGATAAATCAAAGCCATCTAATATTCTATACTTGCGCCCACACTAAAATTTGAAAAAGTGAAAAAGCAATCTGTGGCCAACAGGGAATGCAAGGCTCTATGTCAGACCCTCCTTCATAAATAGTGGCAACCTACCACGAGGAATGCAGTGTGGCACGCGTGGCCCATCTCAGAACGTCTCTGATAAATTACAAAGTAGAATCCGAGATGAGGGGGCTCCTGAGGCTTCTAGCTGTGCTTGCTATGAGCTGCTGCCGGCACCACCTCCACCCCCGCAGGCACCTGGCTGCCCAGATACAAAGCATTTAAGGTTGTGACTGAATATAAGGCAGCACTGCTGGCAGATTTTTAAATTGCATAATCTATCTGTCCAAACGATTGCCACCCCTTTCATAATAGCCACAGTGTTTCTACGATGCCTGCTATTTCTTAAAACACTTTTTTATAATCTTTTGGGTTTGCCTTTGAAGCTTGTGTCCCATTTATAAAAGCATCCTCACTATTAATACATTTTCTTGCTCTCAGAATGAACTTGTTTTTCCAATTGGCTAATGCCACTTGAAGTCAAGTGTACTGAATGGGGACAGAGAGGCGGGAGGAGGTGAGCATGCTGAGTCAAACTGGTTTATACAATGAGGTGTGACTATAAAGTAATTATTGTGGGTTCTTGAGGGTCATGGTGAGGTTCCCAGCCCTGACTTAGAAATGACAGAAATAAGATTGCCTTCTCTTTGAGAGGTAAACTTTAAAGCCAACATCTCAATAGAGCTGGTTAGAGAAACATAAATTTACCCAGGAAGAGAAAGAATTATGGTCATGCACCACTTACCAATCAGGATATGTTCTGAGAAATGTGTCCTTAGGTGATGTCACTGTTGTGCAATACTGAGTGGGGCAATACACAAACCTGCACGGTACAGCCTACTACACACCCAGGCTGCACGGCACAGCCTAACGCTCCTAGGCTCCGAGCCTGGACAGCATGTTACTGTACAAAAGAGCATGAGGTTAAATCAAGCACAAGAGAAAATGACGGCAATCAAGAGACAAGGTAAGCATGAGATGTCTGAGGCTGCTGCCAGCACAACATGGCACACTGTGTTACAGAAAACTGTTTTATATATGAGCAGAGAGAGTACACTAACTTAATGATAAAAAGCATAATAAATACATAAACCAGTAACATATTTGTTGTCAAGTATTATATACTGTACATAATTATATATATCAAGTATTATGTTATATATATATAACTGTGTGGATCACACTATTATCTACCTGGAAGAGCAGTGGTTTGCTTACATCAGCATCACCTCAAACATGTGGGTTAAGTGTTGAGACCACTGAGTGGACTATGACATCACTAGGCGATAGGAATTGTTCTGCTCCATTATAATCTTATGGGCCATGTATGTGGTCCATCACTGACGGAAACATTATGTGGAGCATGAGTGTACTCTCAGGGCTAGAACAGATATAACAGGAGTAAATACAGTGATCATTCCATGGAGAGGGCAGGGTGAATGGAAGGTGTATG